TGAGCCCGATAGGGCAAGCGAACAAGTGCATGGCTTGAGAGCGCAGGAATCGTTGCTAAATGGTTGTCGTTTTCGAAACGCGGGGTGGGGAGCCGAAAGCGCTGAAAGCCGGAGCACACACGTCGAGACAGGGTCCTTATCAGTCGGGATTCTGATTGGGCGTGATTTCGTGCCATCGGGCGAAAACTCGGCCGTGTTTCGACCATGCTTATCTAGCTTTCCTTTGCGGAGTTGGTCTCGAGTCACGCTGGCTCCCTCTGACGCACGCAGAAACGCTCCGAGAAGCCTTCTCGAAGGACGTTCCAGGTCGCAGTTCCCACACACACAGCACCAACCTAATTTCAAGGTGCGCTTGGACCCACTCGACTGACGGGTCCAAATGAAGTCGGGCGGTCTTGGACAGATACGACGCGTCCCGCGTACCGCTTCCGTGCTATCTGGCCGCTCGCCAATCCACACTCCAGCTTGAGACCGATGTCACTCTATGTGCGCTTCTGCACTCGTCATTCGATCGTTTCCATGCGAAAGTAGCGAACAGAAGAGATTGAAGAATGTGGAAGGGTTCACATCCGTCCGTGCGGCGATCTCGGCAGTGGGATTCCTGATGCGCAAAGAAGCGCCGCTGATAAGCCGCGTCTGATAAGGACGCTTTCTCCTTCTCGCTTGCAGCAGCATGGGGACAGCAGAGTCTCGTTCATTTCGGCTTGCCTTCTGCCACGCCTCGAGCCTTCGGGCTGATCCTGCTTTGGGCGGTGGGTCCTGCGAGTGCTGAACAATGCGTCTCAATCTAAAAGAATCCACCAACCGATCTGGCTGCGATGCATATAAAGGAGAGTCTCTGACCATTGCGGCTGCGAGGATAGCCCTTTATCTGCATACGCCCTTCCACCTCCTTCTCCTACCTTCTTTGATCTCTCTGAGAAGCGACAATTCTCGTCGCTCGGGCACGGCAGTGAATCTCCCTCTTCGTAAAGCACCACCTTCGCCATCGCCCCCCATGGTCGCTTCCACCAAAGTGCTCCCTGAGGGAGCCGGCTGGGCCGTCATCGGCGGTCTGGGCTTCTTCTTTGCTGGCTTCATGATCGTTCTTTCCTTCATTCAACAACGATACACGAACCGCTCCATCAAGGACACCGACGAATTCGCCTCGGCCTCCCGCTCCGTCAAGCCCGGCCTCATCGCCGCCGGCATCTGCTCCGCTTGGACATGGTCTTCGACATTGCTCCAGTCCAGTGCCGTTTCATACAAGTTTGGCATCACTGGTGGCTACTGGTATGCAGCGGGCGCCACCATTCAGATCCTGCTGTGCTCCATCATGGCATGCCAGATCAAGCTCAACGCACCGTTTTGCAGCACCTTCCTCGAGGTGCTCCGGGTGCGCTGGGGCAAGATGCTGCATTGCGTCCTCCTCTTCTTCTCCCTCGCCACCAACCTGCTTGTCTCTTCGCAGCTCGTCGTAGGTGGATCGGCCGTGGCCAGCACCCTCACGGGTATCCCGACGATGGCCGCCATCTGGCTCATCCCCCTCGGCGTCTCCGTATACGTCCTCGTCGGAGGTATGCGTGCCACGCTGCTGGCTGACTACACGCACACCGTCGGCCTTCTCATCATCATCTTCTATTTCTTCTTCAAGGTCTGGGTCACCTCTCCCGAGATCGGTAGCGTCGAAGAGATGGTGAAGCTCCTCAAGACATCCAACGGCATCCAAGGCAATGTCGGCGGTAGTCCTCTCACCTTCAGGTCGTTGGAAGGTCTTATCTTCGGACTTATTAATATAATCGGCAACCTAGGGACGGTCTTCTGCGATCAGAGCTATCATCAACGCTCGATCGCCTCGAATCCGGCGACGGCGGCCAAGGCTTTCCTCCTGGGAGGTTCGGCGTGGTTCGCGATCCCTTTCCTGTTTTCGATGACTATGGGACTGAGCGCAAGAGGCCTGCTTTTCTCGGGCAATCCTCTGATGCCCGCGCTCTCTGCGGCGGACGTGAATGCAGGCCTTGCTGCTCCTGCTGCAGGAGTGGCTCTTGCCGGAAAGGGAGGTGCTGTAGCGATGCTCATCATCCTCTTCCTTGCGGTCACCTCGGCCTCGTCTGCCCAGCAGGTTGCGGTCGCCTCGGTCCTGACGTTTGATGTGTACAAGCCGTACATCCGCCCCAACGCCTCGCAGCGAGAGATCTTCATCATGAGCCACGTCGGTGTGCTCATCTGGGCGATCGTCATGGCGCTGTTCGGAACCATCTTCTACTATGCTGGAATCTCGCTCGGATGGCTTTACCTGGCGCAGGGCATCATCATTGCCCCTGCCGTCATGCCTATCTTCTGCGGACTGGTCTGGAAGCGAACGAACAAGATGGCATGCCTGGCCGGCATGATCGTCGGTGTCGTCTGCGGCATCGTCGCTTGGATGGTGACCGCAGCCACGCTTTACGGCGAAGTCACCGTTGACACGACTGGAAAGGACTATCCGACGCTGGCGGGCAACATGGTCTCCCTCGGAGTGTCTTCGATCATCACCGTCGCTGGAAGCCTGCTGTGGCCCGAGACCGAGGACCACTTTGTGCTGACGCGAAGCATCAACGCCCCCGTCGACGTCGTCGAGCGCATGGCCGCCAACTCTGGACGTTCTTCGCCCGGCTCGCCCTCGACTCCTTCGGCGGAAAAGTCGCAGTACGACAGCGAAAAGATGGCACCGCCGACTGCGACGGTGCCCTATACCCTCGAGACGGTCGACTACGTCAAGGCGGCAGGACTGGATGCCGACGAGCTGAGGCGAACGCTGCGACAGACGAGCTGGATCAGCGTGGCAGCCTCCCTCATTCTTTGCGTCATCATTCCGGCGTGCTTGGCGTCGCGAAGGATTTGGAACGCGACGGGCCTGGCAGCGTACATCTGGCTCGGATTCATCTGGCTCGTCTGGACGACGTTTGCCGTGGGTATCCTGCCCATCTGGGAGTCGCGCCGCGAGCTCGGCGCCATCCTTCGAGGCGTCGGCAAAGACTTGACCGGCAAGAACGGCAAGGTCTCGCGCGATGCCGACTCTGCCAAGTCCTAGACTTGCACTGCCGACGGCTACCCTTTTCTGTAGAACAGTCAGCGATTCGTTTCGCAAACAGCACTTCAATGAAGCGCCTTGAAAACAGACCTTCGCATTGCAGCTGTGACATCAGATTTGAGCTGAGTCTCGCAGGGCGATGGCTAGCGTGTCGCTTTCACGCTCGATATGATGCCGACCATGTGATCCGGCTTGCTTTTACAAAGCGGAAGGGTGTGACTGATATGAACGTGCTCTTGCTACCCCAAGGCGGTGCCGTGCCGACCTTCTGTAGTCATCCGTGGCGACATTTGGCGTCAACTCGTCGGGAATTGCGGCAAGACCGTGTTGCAACACCGGGCGGCTGCACATCGGTCACAGCCGCCGTGATTCTGCAGCTCATCCAACGTCGACCAGCTCTAGCCGCAGAGCGTACATTGCAGAACTTCCGCAGCGGTACCAACCAATTTCCACAGTAGCTGGTCGGTAAGCGCCCGTCAAAAGAAGGGTCTTGCGGTCCTGGGAACCTTCCAAACACGGCTGTCTCGGCTGGTGCCTTGGAGTGGGTCCGTACTAGCAAGATTAAAAATCCGGACTAGGCACAACTCGACCCTTTTGTTTTAAGGTTTCGAAGCGCGTCTTTCATGTGGCACGGGACTGACTCCGCATGTCGGGACCTGAAGAAGGTGAGCGTGGCCAAAATTCCCAGCCTGGTTCGCAATGCTCTCGGAGAGCACACCGCAAGCCCTTTCCGCTGGGCGTGGGAGCAAAGGTCTTGGGGCGTGACGGTAGAGGAAGATCCTCTCCCTTTCCGGCGTCAAAGCCTAGAGCCGGAATCGGAGCAGGCGCCGAATGCTGACAAGATGGTCGGCCAGGCCGAGCGGCTGATTCACCACAGCCACAGCTGTATGTCAACGAGCCCCGTGAAAGAGTGCGATCCAACCAAGAGCAAGGACTTGGTCAGGGACGGCCCGGAAGGTGGCGTGAGGGCCTTTCTGGCCGTTGCTGAGCAGGCGTTGTCATCAGGGACCAAGTCACGTCGCCTTTCTGGCTCGAACGTCGATCGTGGAGCGAACTGCGATTTTCTTGGACCTTGGCTATTCGTCAGCACCTCACTGCAACTCTACGGGGGCAAGGCGAGCAGCAAAGAGCGGCCACACTTCTTCTTGGCCACTGGAGGCACAGCGTCGAGGCGGCGGGTGACGTGAGCCCGTGCCCCGCCGTGCTGAGAAATTTCGGCCAACGCTAAGCACGCGGCCCCAGACCCTGGGGAAAACGGGAGGGGCGTGCGGAAAAACGTCGAGTGTTCACCGCCTCGAGCCTTCATGCAGCGATTGTTGGTTCGGGAGTGCCGGCAGGGTCCAGCGGCGCCTCGCCAAAGAGACGAGGAGAGGAATGGAGAGAAGACAGTCGCAGAGCGGGATGCAGGCACAGGCAAGCGAGCCCGTGCTTCGATTCCAGCTCCGAGCAGGTTCGGCCAGCTTTCCACATCTTCTGCCTCCAGCCGCTGCTCTCGATGCTGGCTCTGGCTACAGGCGCTAGCCGCAGCCTCGAAGCTGCCGTATATAATGTCGAGGAAGGACCCCGACCTGGGGGACGAGAAGCCCCAGTCCCTGCGTCTACCCTTATCCTCCCCTCCGCTGGCCACCGACGAAGCTCTGCAACCACTCGCCTCGGCGTCTCAGCGCCTCCGGTACCGACGGTCGAATCCCTTTAACCTCCTTATCTGACCCTCGTATCAACCAGACCGACCGCCAGAGTCTACACTTTCGCGGCATCAGCAAATATCTCTCGCCTCGGCTTGCCGTCCCGTGACCTCCCAGGCTCCCAACTTCTTCTCTGCAGTGATCCAGAACAACGTTGCAACGCCGTCAATCCCAGAGGCATACCCTACGTGGCCTCTTTGGCACTATCAAAACACCTCCAGCACACGGTCCGGCAAGCTCAAGGTTAGCTGCTACTCGCAAACATGGCCACAGTCACGACCGAGACCATGGCGCAGGTACGCTCTTGATTCATTTTCCGTCACTCCTCTCGCATACGAACTATTTCTGACTCTTCCCATTGTCACTGCTGCTCCCGCATCACTACAGATCAAAACCTTTGTCCAAGACAAGGTGCATCAGACGACGGATGCCGCTGGCCTCTCCGCCGCCGAGACGCGCAAGAAGGCGCAGGTGACGCTTAAGCAGGCGCAGGCAACGTCCTCCGCCGTTGCAAACTCTTCGATGGACCAGCTCCAGTCGTTGCTCGACCAGCTCAACCGCAGCAGAGTCGTGAACGACGTCAAGCTGCTCGGCCAGGCGCCCAACCTCCTCGTCTCGGGCCTGACGGGCGGCGGCCTCGACGACCGCAAGATGCTTCTCGAGCAGCTCATCACGCTCCTCGCCAGCATGCCCGTCACATCCAACATCAGCCGCACCCTCTCAAATGCGCTCATCACCATCATCTGGGGCGACTTGCCTCATCCGCCCAATTCCTTCATGGGCCCCGAGCACCGTTTCCGTCGGGCCGACGGCTCGGACAACAACATCCAGAATGCAAAGCTCGGCGCTGCGAACCAGCCCTACTCGCGCAATGTCCAGCGCACGCAGCCCCAGCCCGTCAACCTCCCCGATCCTGGCACCGTCTACGATCTGCTGCTCGCGCGCGACACCTTCGAGCCGCACCCCAGCGGCATCAGCTCCCTGCTCTTCAACTTTGCCAACATCATCATTCACGACATCTTTTCAACCACACGCAAGCCGGGCGCTCACTCGTCGTACAATGAACACTCCTCCTACCTGGATCTGCAGGTGCTCTACGGTGCCAATCAGGAGGAGCAGCGTCGAGTGCGAACCGGCACCATGGGCCTCCTCAAGCCCGACGCCATTGGCGACTGGCGCCTCGTCATGATGCCCCCTTCGACGACGGCCCTCGCCATCATGTTCGGTCGAAGTCACAACTACATTGCCAAGCGTCTGTACGAGGTCAATGAAGGTCACCGATTCGACGATCTCGAGGGAGAGCCGCTCGACGAAGAGCTCTTCGGCATTGCCCGCCTCGTCAACTGCGGCCTCTTCCTCCACATCATCCTCCGCGACTACATCCCCGTCATCCTCAACACCAACGACTCGGAATGGTACGTCGATCCGCTCGAGGTCATCAGCAACGTCCCCGGCGTCGGCAAGGTGGAGCGGGGCATCGGCAACTCGGTCGCCGCCGAATTCTCGGTGCTCTACCGCTGGCACGCGGCCGTATCCCAGATGGACGAAAAGTGGATGAACGACTTCCTCTCGTCGAGATTCCCTGGCAGGAAGCCGGAAGAGGTCTCGCCCAAGGAGTTTGTCGAGGCCGCCGCCGAGATCAAGTCCGAGTTCACTGACACCGATCCGGGCGAGTGGAACCTGCACGACTGGGAGAGGGATGCCCAGGGCAAGTTCAGCGATGCCGTCCTGGCTCAGGTCGTCAAGGACGCCGTTTCGGACGTGGCTGCCGCCTTCCGCGCACGCGGTCATCCCAGCTGGTTCCGTCCCATCGAGATCCTCGGCCAGATCACGGCGCGCAAGGACTGGGCGCTCTGCACCATGAACGAGTTTCGCCACTTCCTCGGCCTCAAGACCTACTCTTCCTTCCGCGAGTGGAACCCGGATCCCAAGGTGTACGAGGCTGCCGAGATGCTCTACGGCGACATTGACAATCTCGAGCTCTACCCAGGTCTCATGGCCGAGGAGGCCAAGCCGAGCATCCCCGGCAGCGGCCTCTGCCCTGGCTACACGATCTCGCGCGGAATCCTGAGTGACGCCGCTGCGCTCACCCGGGGCGACCGCTTCTACACCAACGATTTTTCGACGTCGAACCTGACCAGCCGTGGCTACGAGCACAGCACTGCCCCGCAGCCAGGCTCGCACGGCCTTATGGGCAAGCTGATCATGTCGACGCTGCCGGGTCAATTCACGTACAACTCGATCTATGCGCTCTATCCCTTCCGCATCCCGTCCAAGTCGATTCAGATGCTCAAGGAGAAGCGCGTGCTCGAGCACTACGACACCTCGTACCCGGCTCCGGCGCGTCGCTGGCATGCGATCGAATCGTACTCGGCCAGCCGCAACCTTCTCGTCGACTCCGCCTTCTTCGTCACGCTCCCGTCCGTGTCGTACGACGAGAGCCTGATGTCTTCGGCGCTCCAGACGATCTCGGGCTGGCAGGGCGTCGTGGGCGAGTTCTACAGCGTCAACACGGACTCGCTCATGAAGGCGCGCAGCATTCCGCTCGCTCCTTCGGGTGGCCAGCGCATTGTCGACCTTCTCGACATCGTCAACACGGTCTCGGCGCAATTCACATCGACCCTGTTTGGACTGCCGACGCCGGGCACCCACGGCCTGCATCTCGGCATGTCGCCGCAGGAGCTCTTCCTCATGCTCGCCAAACCGCTCGCCTTTGCCATGTACGGCTCGTTTGACTTCCAGGGCCACCAGACGTGGCAGCTCGAGGAGCAGTCCGAGACGTGCAAGCGTCGCCTCAAGAACCTCATCTGGGCGCGCCTGCACACGATCGACGGCATCCTGTCCCCCGTCTTCTCGCTCGTCCAGAACATCTCGAACGCGCTCGGTGGCCCTGGCAACATTGCCGCCGGCGAGATGGCCAAGCAGTTCTACCACGCGCTTCTGGCCTCGGGCAAGACCAACGACCAGCTCGTCCGCGACTGTCTCAACATGATGATCTCGCTCACGGCCACCCACTCGCTGGTGATGATGCAGATTTTCAAGTGGTTCCTGCTCGAGGAGAACGCCGAGGAGCTCTCGGCCATGTACACGCTCGCCCAGAAGACGGATCCGGACTCGATGGACGCCATGCGCCGCCGCCTCATGGAGGCCTACCGCGTCAGCAGCATTACGCCGGCCCAGCCCAAGTTTGCGCTGCAGTCGGTCGTGCTGCCGGATGCCGACGGCGCCAAGGTCCAGGTGCAGGCCGGCGACGGTGTCTTCATCTCGCCCTCGGCGCTGTACCGAGACCCGCTGCTCTCGGACAATCCCGAGCGCTACTCTGCCTCTAGCGAAGTTCCGGTGCGTCTGGGTCTCGGCGACGCACCTTCCCAGGCGATCCTCGAGATTGCGCTTCCCGCCATGGCTAGGCAGTTCTTCAAGCACGCTGGCCTCCGCATGGCACCCTCGGGCCCACCGCCGGTCGTCAACGACGCCGGCCCGAACCCCAACGAGAAGCTGCCCTACTTTGTCGGCAACCGTGGCACGGAACATCCGCTGCCCATGGAGACGTCGATGCACCTCATCTACGAGGCGCAGTAGTCGTTTGCGCCGCCCCGAGTCTTTGTGTTTGTACCTTCGGCGAATCCCTTTCCGGTTTCCCTGCGCTCGACGTCGTCCTTCGCCGCTTTCTTGCACCATGCCATCCCGTGTCCGATCCGCACATCCAATCGCAAACTTCCATGGCAGACTCGTCATTCAAGCCGGGTCGAAGTGATCATGCAAAGCTGATTGCAGTGAGCAGATCTTCCTTGCGGGGATGCGAGACGACTATGCTAGATACGAGTGTTGACGGGGGATGAGCTTCCGTCTCGAACTGGAAGGCGGATGTCGGATGTTGTTGCCGCGCCGTCGCTGCCCATCAGCGAGAGTGCGCTGGTGAGCTTTTCTGCGTCTCTGGTGGCGTCGATGCGGCGGCGTGTTAATTCGAGCGCGTACTGCAGTTCCTGCTGAAGGTCTCTGGTCGTCGGCTCGCTGGACTTCTGCTTGCGGAAGAGGGCGTTGCTGAGGTAGAAGCAGAGCTTGCGCTGGGTCAGCTTGAGAGACTTTTGCACGGAAGGCTCGAGCCTGTCGCGGCCGTCTGAAGCTAAAGCGTCGAGGAAGAAGTACAGATCCGCGACGGCACTGAGCAACGACGGCGACTGGGCGATGGAGAAGGCGGTCTCGGGCTGCAACGCTGTGAAGCGGGAAACGAGCCAGTGTCGTGGCTCGACGGGGTCGCCGGAGTCCAGGCTGGGAACGAGCCGCTCGATGGCCAGGATGGAGGCGAGGTCTTCGAGCAGCTGAAGAGCGAGCGCGTCCGCACCGCCTGGTCCGACTTCGGTGTCCAACGAGAGGTGTGAGAGGATCCAAAGCGAGGCATCTTCGAGCGTGGGGAGGACGGTCGTGCTCTTGTCATGGGGCGGGCTGGACCCGCCGCGCGCAGTGTGCGAGAAGAGAAAGGGCGCAAGAGTGCGGAGCTTATCTAACGCCGCGTGGGCGGTGTGGACATCGTCGAGGCTGGGTGGTGAGACGCTCTGATGAGGAAGACGCGGAGATGTCGAGGTGGGTATAGACGGCGCTGGAGGAGCAGGTTCTGGAATGTCGGGCTCGAGTGGCGGTGGACCGTCGTCGTCCATGTCGCCAAAGGTATCCTGGAAGACTGGCGGGATGATCGAGCGTAGGCGGTCCGTGTCGGAGGTCGCTGGAATTGTTGGATCCTTGTGCGGCCGGGTGAGCTCGGAGAGATTAGTCGTGTCCAGGTGGCGGAGGACGTAAGCGTAGGTCATGAGAACCGCACACAGATTGTATCGAAGATCCAGCGCTGGACGCGCGTTCGTTGCGGTAGATCCGGAAGGCTTCGCAGCGGCGAGCTTGGTGAGCGTGTCGACGAAAGAAGACACTTGCTCCTCCGACCGGCCGGTGAAATCGATGAACGCATCCGGCTTCTTGAACCACGGAGTGGCCTGGTATGAAGAGCTTTGTCGAGCGCTAGCTTGCGGCGGTTGAGCTTCCAAGCGCGGCAGCGTCACTGCACCCTCCGACTCCCGGCTTGAACTCGCGCTCGTGTGTCGAGCCGCTTTCTGGTCCAAGTGACGCATAAGCTTTGTAGCTGACTGTTGACTCTTCATCGCATTGAGGAACTTGACCTTTTGCTTTTCGGTGAGCATTGCCAGAAGCTCGTCGGTGGATGCAGCTTCGACCTGCTCGGATGTGACCGCTGCCTGCCGCAGTGCATCTTCAGCTTCTGCCTCCGTGTCCTCGCTTTCGCTGTCGGAGTCGCGTAGATGACTCTCCCGAGCTGAAGTTTCATCCGCTTGGAGACGATGGAGCATGTCAAAGACTTTGCGGCGATCGCCATCGTTCGTCTCACTGGCTAATGACTCCGAGGCGCCTCGCACAGCAACTGATGAAAAGGCAGCCGAGCACTGCTCGTGCTCCGAGCTGCGGAAGCACGCGAGCGAGCAATAGGGGATGTTGCATTTGGGACAAGTATACGAGGCTGCAGTGGTGTAGCAGATATTGCATAGTCGCGCCGAGATCCCCCGAGCTGATGTAGGGGTAGGCAGCAGGTCCTGCTCCCGAGCTTTATCGCGACGGACCGCGCGCGAGACGTTGAAGAGATCCGACAGCGACATTGTGTCCGTCCGCAGCTCGAAAGCCACGCTACGCTCCCTTTCTGAGGTGGGTGTTCCCCATGTTAATGGCGTGACCGCAGTCTGACTCCTGCTAGAAACGTGATGGTGGTGAGCGGCCAGTGAGTTTGAAGGTGCAGCTGCGGGTACTTTTGCGGGATCCAAGAATTCAGGGTCCAGTGGAGGGCGGTCTGCCTCTCTCGTGCGAAAGCGCTCGGGGATGGTCTGCAGTCGGCTCCGCGCATTTTTTTAGGTGCTTGGACGGCGCAGAGTTGCAGGCTGCTGCCTTGGCCAGGCGCGAAGATCCACTTGTAGGAAATTTTTGACTTTTTGGACCCAGTTTGCGGCCAAGGCAGCCTCGAGCCTTTGGAGAAGCTCTGCATCGTCCTGAACATCATCAGCATCGTCCAGCCCAATTGCACCTCGGTCCCAGCGCAAACAAGGCGGACACCACCTCGATCTTTCCCTACACACATCCGACTTCGAGTCGCTCAACCTAGTTAGCAGCATGTCGTTCCGCGGAGGCGGACGTGGAGGAGGTGACCGCGGTGGTCGCGGCGGCTTCTCGTCTCGTGGTGGCCGAGGCGCCTTCGGTGGTGGAGGACGCGGCGGTTACGCCAACGCCGGTCCCCCCGAGACAGTACAGCCTATGGGCTCCTTCTTGCATGCCGTCGAGGGCGAGATGCTCTGCCAGTCCACCGACGCAAAGCACGTCCCCTACTTTAACGCACCCATCTAGTAAGTTGATTCGCTCCCGCTGTTAAACGAGCTGTGGAGCACTTTCTGACCCCCTCCGTGCCAACTTTCAATAGCCTCGAGAACAAGTCGCAGATCGGCAAGGTCGATGAGATCCTTGGACCCATCAACGAGGTCTACTTCACCGTCAAGATGGACCCGGGCATGGTGGCCACTTCGTTCAAGCCAGAAGACAAGGTGTTCATCTCGGGCGAGAAGCTGTTGCCCATCGAGCGATTCCTGCCCAAGCCGAAATCGTTGACAAAGGCACCCAAGAAGAAGGGCGGTGCACGAGGCGGAGCGGCTGGTGGCGCACGGGGCCGCGGCGCACCAAGAGGCCGTGGCGGTTTCGGCGGCGGACGCGGTGGTGGATTCTCGGGTGGCCGCGGCGGCGGCTTCGGAGGCGCTCGTGGCGGCGGACGCGGTGGTGGATTTGGCGGCGGACGTGGCGGTGGATTCTTGGGCGGTCGTGGTGGCGCTGGTGGCCGAGGCGGTGGATTCGGCGGCCGTGGCCGTGGTCGCGGCGGCTACTAAGCGTCCTGCCAACGTCTGCTTGCCGTCAGCTCTCCACGCTTCCATCTCTTCTTCCCGGCATTGTCTCCTTTCATCTTTTGTGTATTTGTGTTAGTATCGAACCCTCATTCGTTTCGTCGTATGGCCTCGCGTGGTTCGTCTGTGCAGCATTCACGGCAGCTCGCCAGTCACGGTGAATTGCTCACGAAGTGCAAACACACAGTCGGGTCGCATCGTTCTGGGGGACGCACGAGTCACAAATTGATGACTGGATTGCATGAAGCAAACGTGACGTCTACGGGCTAGGTTTGCAGTGCTCAGCATCCTGCAGAGGATTGGCCGCCCAATGCGGCACAGGGGCATACTTGAGCAGCGTCAAAGTGAGCAGGAAGATGGTGAGCGCATTGACGCTCGCGCCAGCATCCAGAGCGGCCGAGAGGACGTAGTTGAACTTTTCAAACCACGCCGGATGCTTCTCGCGCAGATGCTTCTGCGAGAGCCACGAGAAGAAGAAGCCCGTCATGATCACGTTGGTCGGCACCGCGGGCGGCAGCGCTGCCGAATGCAGGATGATGGGCCACGCCACTTTGGGCAGCCATTTGTAGCGGTACTTCTTGTGTAGCACGTACGGGATAAAGGGAAGAATGGCGCCGATCAAGAAGCCGAGGTAGAGCTTGCGGTATGCGCCCGAGAAGAACTCGGCGGGACCCACGAGACCCCAGATGACCGACGCCGAGAAGAAGATGTGCACCTTCCTGCCGTCCCATTGGCCCGAGGGGTCTTCGACCGTACCGTCGAGGAAAGCGCGGTAGCCAGACGCGGGATCGAGCACCACATTGACCACGATGAGGTTGACAACGCATCCAATCATGGTGCCCCAGAGCTGCGCAACAAACATGTGCCTAGGCGGAATCTTGATGTAGTGTCCGAGTTTGAGATCGTTGACCAGATCGAGTGCCTGGTTGAGCGACATGTATGCCATGGTCTTGAACAGGATGTTGCCGATGGGATTGCCGGGCATGATGTAGCCAATCACGAATTCGGAGATGATGTTGAGACCGACGCCAGTGTCCGAAACGGCTCGAAGGATACCGAGCGGCGCGATGAACAGCAGACCCATAAAGATGGCCAGAAGAAGCGCCCACACGGGCAGCTGCAACGACGGCGTGAGCACAACCAGCATGACGGACGCAGACGTCGACAGAGCCAGGGTGGTGGCATACCACCTGCGCGGCACGGGCTCGTATGCGCGCATGAGCCGATTGTGCACGTCGTCGTGCACGGCGTTGGTAGCTGCCTTCTTGATGTCTTTCCAGTGCCAAAGGAGCACATGCGTCACCGTGCTGGTCAAGGTGGCGAATCCGAGGCCGTACGATAGCGCAAAGTACGGCGTGAGGAGCATGGGCTTTTGCTCTGACCAGGCCGATGCATTCAAGGTATTGTCCTTGTTGAGCAATGTGTCGACCGAGAACTTCTTGTGTTCCTTGTTGTACAGGCCTGCGCTGAGGATCTCGGGGAAGGACTGTGCGTCCCAAAAGTTGAATCCCCAGTAGAGCACGGGCATGACGATGTACATCATGCCTGCGAATCCAGCATAGAAGTTGAGAGCCGCCCACCATGGTTGGTAGAAAGGTCCGCTCATTCCTGCAGCGTTCCAGTCGAAGGTGAGATTGAGGAAGCCGAGGCCGTGGTAGCCAGAGCTCAGCGAGCGGAAGGCGGGCACCTTGTTGTCGACCAAGCAAAGCATGGCTACGCTCGATAGGGTGGGTGCGAGCAAGGCCGGGAGGAACTGGTACATGAAGATCCCGACGAATGCGAAAGCAAACAAGCGCAAGCGGGCACGGGTGTTGGGCGCCTCTTTGTCGTGCAGCGTGTGGAAGAGCGAAGTTGTGACTAGGGTGCTGGGCCAGATCATCGAGGTTGGTTTGACGAGGAGGTTGTTGACGATGCCGGCAAAGCCGAAGCCGAGCACCTGGGTAGTAATGAGCAAGGTGAGAGAGGAGAGCCAGTTCATGTGCTGGTGGTAGAAGAGTTCCTGGATGTTGATGATGTCGCTGGCGTATGCAGAAGTGGCGCCGGAGGATGCGATGATGGCGACGAGCAGGTGTTCCTTGATGCTGAAGGGCCCCGGGTTGAGCTGTGCGGACCACTTGCCGATGCGAACGGTGCGCTCCGGAAGCCGATTGGCGAGCCATCTTCCCATGGGGAGCGAGATGAGGATGACAAAGTAGCTGCTGAACGAGGGCGAGTTGGACTTGTAGAAGAAGAGCTGTGCGATGGCCGCGCCGATGACGCAGAAGAACGAGCCGATAAGAAGCGCCCTCCAGGTAAGAGCGGGAAGTGTGGGGTCGTCGTGCTCAGGCACTGCCTTGCTGACGAGGTGCATGGGATCGTCGGGATCATACTTGTCCGATATGGATCCGGTGGAGACGTGCCTGCGACCGTTTCTGGCGCGCTGCCTCGACTTTTGGCGGTCCATCTCGTATGCCTCTTCGTCCGCAGCGGTGGCAGGACCGAGCATGAGGGCATCCTCGCCCTGCTCGTGGTCGTCGTCCTCCTCATCGAGACCTTGAGCGTACCGCTTGTGAGGATGCGTGTCGAGCTCGTATTCGTCCATCTGGATGGTGGTCGCGTCTTCGTCCGAGTCCTGCCCGAGGCCCTGTTGATGATGTGCGCGTGATCTTGATTGAGGTCTGGACCTTCTGGCAGCGCCGCTCGGCGAAGACGTCTGCGAAGTGTTGACTTGCATGTCAGAGCATGCGCACCGTTGTGATGGAGAGAGAGCAGCTACCCTGGATATTCTGGTCAGAGGGGTTTCAATACGTCGTCGGATGAAAGTGGGCCTGAGCGCGGCGGGGCTGTTGCGTGCCAGGGCCCCAGGGTCCAGCTCAGCTTCATACGCCCGCAGGGGCGAAGACACCTCTAGCTGGCCGTTTTCTTCCAGCGACAAGGTTTAAGCGTGTCTCGCAGTCAGAAGGCTGCGGGCGCCACGCGAAATAATGTAAGTGTGAGATCGCAACTCTGTACATTCTTGCAATTCTTGGGGGCCTCCACACCGTCGACTAGGAAGACGCCGTTGCGGCCTGATGACGCAAGTGGAAAAGCGAGTCTTGCGCTCCAAGGCCAATCACGGCAGCGACAAAAGTCCGCCACGGGCAAAGGCCACACGAGATGACCACAATCCACATGTACCCAGGCCAAAGCCGCTCCAAGGAGGTGGACCCGAAGCGGGGAGTGTCGCACGCTGACAGACCTCCTGCGTTACTATTTTGAGGCGATCGCTTGGTTAACTTGCCGGCCCGTCCGCTGGTGTAGCTAATGACGTGAAGCTGCGCACTGGGCCTGCGGGGCTGAGTGGACGCTGCACCGGCTTGCATGGAAGACACCTTTGGTGCACTGCAGAGCATGCGCAGCCTCCACAAGCCGAGCCTGGTGCCAAACTTGGACACGGCTGCTGGCGAGTGTCGAGACATTCCGAGGGGCCAAGGCCTGCGCTGTCCTTTTCAGGCCTCAGGGCAGGACACTGCGTCGAGTGTAGATCGAGCCACGGTGGATCGGCCTTTGCCGAGCCCTGACGAGCAAAAGAGCGCGGCCTGAGAAGGTACGACCTGGACTATATATTCCAGCCTTCGCAGCGTGGATACTTTCTTCCTTTCTCTAACCCACCTTTCTATCCAACAACACAGCCTATCATGTCTACCCAGTCGCAGTACGAAACCCACACGTAAGTTTGGCAGCAGCCACGATCCTTTCTCTTCGCTTCCGCGACCAAAGGCTGACCTCCTCGGCACCATACAATCATCTCGCCTTCCACACCTTCTTTAGCGCCGATGGCGACCAGAGGAACGCCCCTGGTCCTAACCCCGATGTCGGCATGCACCACGACGACAACCGAAAGGACCACGAGAAGGGCCAGCCCGAGTCGCACCAGTCGCTCGACGCCAAGGACGAGAAGTCCATCAAGAACAAGCTCGCCCAGGCTGGCAAGGAGGAGAAGGAGCGTGCCCAGGCCGAGAAGGCCAAGTCCGAGGAGAAGCCCACGGACGCTGCACGACAGAATGGCAACGAACCTTCGCGTGGTGCCAAGATCGACGAGCAGATCGAGGAGGAGGAGCGCAAGATGCTCGAGGCCAAGGGCATCAAGACCTGAGGTACAGAGCCAAGCCACCATGTATTAGTAGCTACGGCGTTGCTTCTCTAATCACAAGCCGTATCAAATGACGCTGCGCTCGTCCCTTACGCCCCTCGGACACCGATCGTGAGCCTGACAGTGAATGGTCGACGGTTGTGAGATTGATAGTGTTACAAAGTACTAGTTGGAATGCCGGAGGATGTGAATGATCAAGACACCAGTCATCATCATTCTGTGTCGAGAACGATGGGATTGTCGGGGGTCCCTGTTCCTGCGTGGTTGGGCACTGTTGGTCCGGTAGCTGGTTGTACGAAAGGATGAGGATGCGCGCCGTTCGGTAGTAGAGGATGGTTTTGCTGTCGCACTCCGTTGATGTGAACCGAGCTTCCCTCCGGTGCGGAAGTATGGACGGTGACGTTCCCGTTGGCGTCGACTGTGCGCGTGACGGTCTCGGTGCGGCCGTTGACAGTGCGTGTTGTTGTGCTCTGGCTCGTGCCGGAAAAACCGCCGTAGGTGGTGCTGGTAGAGGTGCTGGTGGTGTGGCCGTGGGAGAAGGGTCCGGTCGCCTGCATGTGGGCAGGATGACCCGGATGGCCGCCAGGATGGCCGCGTGGAGGTCCGAAGGGGGATCCAAATCCGAAACCCATGGTATCGGCCATCCTTCGATGGTTCTGCATGAAGGGATCGTCGTCTCCAAAGATGCTTCCGCCCATCCCATGCCCTTGATTCATCGTTGCGAAAGGACCGCGAGACGGTCCAGGCATGCCGCCCATGTGAGCGCCACCCGCAGATCCGAATTCCTTGCCAAACATCATGTTGAACAGCTCAAAGGGATCGAAGCCATCCGCACCGAAAGGCCTCCCCGCACGGCGACCCGCCTGGGCTCGTCTGGCGGAATCGGCGCTGGATTCCCACATGAACGAGAAAGGCACGCCATTCGGACTCGTGCCAAAGTGCTGGCGGCTCCGGTCTTCGTAGTAAGGCTCGGCTGGGGTGTATCCTTGCGTGGATCCAGGGCGGAAAGCATCGTATTCGCGACGCTTTCGTTCGTCCGAGAGGAGCTCGTAGGCCTGGCCAACGACCTTGAATCGAGCGGTGGCGTCTTCTTTGTCTGCAAGAGGAGCTCGGTCGGGGTGATTCTTGAGCGCGAGCTTCTTGTACGCTGCCTTGATCTCGGCCGCAGTGCAGCCGGGGCTGAGGCCGAGCACGTCGTAAGGGTCGATGTCCGGGAAGCGATTCATTCTGAACGTGCCACAGCGGTCGTGATTCCTGCCTTCCAGGGCAGTTTGGTCGCAGCCATTCTAGAGCCGTGGTGGTGGGAAGGAAAGGTTCGCAAAGCGCTCCGCTGTGGTTATCGACGAGAGCTTGCGGAACCAAGTTGGTCCCTGCGTCGGCCCGCAGCTGAGTGTGTTTCTCGAGCCGACGCTCGAAATTTCGGTCGCGTCCGGGTGTCGGTGAATTGTGGAATCCAGTCAGGAAGCCCGATTGCGATTCGAATGCTCAGTGTACTGTTAGAGAAAAGGGCGATCGTGTGATACAGAGAAAGGCTGCACAGATTCGAGTTGGTCAAGCCACCGTGCACGAGCGTGTCATGCGCCGCTACTCCACCCATCAGCGTGAATTTAGCCTTTCCTTAAGCCGGCCTCGCTGTCAGCGGACTGTCCACCCTTGATTCCACCATCTTCAGCTAGCGAAGCGAGCAAACCACCGCTTTACGACCGGCCGATTCAGCTTAGCAGTGAGTCCAACTCGGATGAAAACAGGACGAGCATCCGCAGAGTACCTCATTCCGCACCCAGGCGGCAGCAGTAGCATCTGGCTCTCTCCATTGCGTTCTGGGACGCAGCGGCGCAATTCTCGAGTTTTGTAGCGACGATCGCATTCGAGACGCCAGATTCTGACCACTTCATCCCTCGTCTCCTTTGCCTCACGGATCAGCGCGCTTCTCCAACGAGTGTCGTCGACGTCCCTCTTGCCTCGCAACCTTCAATCGCGGCACCTCCTGCCTTTTGCAACATGGCCAAAGGTGCGTGCGCCTCCATCTCTCCATCGCTCCGTTGCTGCAAGTCAAGCACGGAATCTTGACTGACCCAACCCACATATGCATTCCGCTCAACAGTCCCACGCAACTTCAGGCTCTTGGAAGAGCTCGAGAAGGGTGAAAAGGGAATCGGCGATGGAAGCTGTTCCTACGGTCTTGATGACGGCAGCGATCTCAGTAAGTCTCACGCTCTCCTCCAGCGGGCAGACTATCCGCACAGCCTTGCTTGCATCAATGCACACTGTGCAAGAGCTCTGACGCCGACCCGCTCCTTCTCATCTTCAATGCGCCTGCCAAACAGTGATGTCCAACTGGAACGCAACAATCATCGGCCCGGGTCACTCGGTCTACCAGAACCGCATCTACTCGCTCAGCATCCACTGCGGTCCCAGCTATCCGGACCAGCCTCCCGAGGTCAAGTTCCTCACAAAGATCAACCTGCCTTGCGTCAAGTCGGACGGCCGCATCGACTACAACGCTCTGCCCATCTTCTCCAACTGGTCGCGCGACAGCACGATCGAGACCATCCTGCTGTCCTTGCGAAGGTATGTTTGGCTCGCGAAGCTCTCAACCTTAAATCTGCGCAAGCTCCTGCGCAAAGCTTCATTTCGGCTCGGACGCGCATCCTCGCTGACACTTACATCCTTTCCGCTTTGCTGGCACTGCGACACAGAGAGATGGCTTCGCCTGCCAACCGCAAACTCCCGCAACCTGCCGAAGGTGCGTCGTACTGATCCAGTGCGTGCACATGTACATAGACAGCACGAGAAACGGCCTGACCCGGAATGCGCTCAGGCATTCGTTCAGATCGCTTGACTTTGACCGACCGCCTCAGCGAAACCGTGAGCTTCCTTCCGCAAGTTAAATTGTGCTCATCTGACGAGTTCGAAGCCCCGGAGCCTCGCTTGCACCTCAAAACTCACATTTCTCGGCTTTCCTGTCTCGACCCTCCGTTTGCGATGGCAGTCATGAGCGCGCCAACGCCAAACCTGACCGCTGTGCCAGCGCTGGACCACCCCAAAGCTGCCGAATCGATCGATCACGCGAACAAACCGGTGATCGTCAAACACAGCAATGCTTCGCCGGCGATCGAGCAACGCATGCTGAATGTCATCGCCACGGCTACAGCTCACGGCAGCTGGGGTGAGACTTGCTTTCTCGTCGAGAGCAAGGCTGACGGCAATGCGTATGCCTGCGTTTACGCCAGTCTGGACCTTCTTCGCGCCAGCAATGCGGTTGAGCTGCTGGATCATGTCGAGAAGCACGGCTGCCCGACTTTGGACGCTGCTCTCAAGGCGCTCCTCGGAAACAAGACCGGCCCACCTGTTCAAACCAACAATGGTGACAACAAGGGCATTCTGCGTAACCCACAAAGCTTTCCCACAGGCGGAGTGCGGTATGTTCCCGTCAGCAACATTGCGGTGACGACTCTGCGGGCGGTCATCATGTTCTTGCAAACGGGACACATTGCATTCGCGCCTCGCAGCAGCAAACTCATCGAGGACGATTCGAGCGCAAGCAACTATGAGGGCCCAGCACTTGTCTCTGCGGAGGGAGCGAAGGTGCAGTGGCCCTTGTCGATGCAGGCGAGCGCTAAATCGATCTATCATGCTGCATGCAGGTTCGGCCTGAATGACCTGCGCGAGCTGGCTGAAAAGACGATCGAGAGCCAGGTGGATGCATCCAACATCCTGGCCGACCTGTTCAGCCGCTTTACGCTCAACCATCCGGACCTTCGAACCAAGAGGCTCGAGTTCGCCATCTCGCACTGGGACGACATCAAAAAGCACCATCGAACCGGCTTTGCCGATGCCCTCTTCAGCCACGCCGATCGACCGGGCGCAAAGGACGTCATCGACCAGATCCTACAGCGCACCTCCATCGCTGCTGCTGACGGCCAGTAAGGACTTGCAATGGCTTTGCTTCGGTCGATATTGCAATACAAGGCCCTTTGATTAGCTTGAAATGATACAAGGTGGGAGTGCTGTCGAAGGATATCGGAAGGAAATTGTAGACGGATGGCTTTGGTCCGGTTGACCACAAGAGCAAGTGAAGCGAGATCAAGATTGCTGGGTGGCAGCAGCCTGCAGACGCTCTTTGCGCTTCTCTTCCTGCTCGCGTCTGCGTTGCCGCCTTCGGATGCGTGCCTCGTCCTCCTCGATGCGCTCGCGCTCCTCGAGCCTTTCGCTGTAGTACTGTCCGCTTTGCAGCAGGATGACGCCGACGAGAGCGACGGCCAAGACGGTGTGAGATGTGGCGATCTCGCGCAGAGGTGCAAAGACGGCATCCCTGGCGTCCACGGCGCCCGAGCCTGGCGAAGGCGCCCTGGGAGGCAAAGTGGCGAGGCTTGGCTCGATCTTGTGGTAGTATACGAGGCCAGCGGCACCAAAGAGGAAGAGCGAGGCGCCATCAAAGAGCCAATTGCTCTCGCGACCGCCGAGCGCCTTGGATATGAGCAGCAAAGCGGCGAGTGTGCCAATGCCGAGGAGCAACTTTCGGTGGACGGAGGGCATGTCGACCATGGTGTCCTGGTAGTACGTGTAGGCAGTCACCACCGAGTCGTACGTGACGGGTGCCTGCCACAGGATCAGATGGTCCGCGGTCCAGTGCATTGCGAGTGTCCCTGCGCAGATGAATGCCACAGCCAAGGAGGAACTTTGCGGTCAGCCTTGCTTTCTCCCCTCAGCTTACACGACCACTTACCTAGCAAGAAGGACGTCGTCCCGATAATGAGTCCGGTGCGCAACCCCATGATAGGCGAGCGTCCGATCCGGTCCTTGGTCTGCCGTCGAAGTTGCGGAGATGAGGGATACGCCTCGGTTGCCGTCAGGATGCGAGAACCGGTCCAAGTCTTGTCGCTCGTGATCGAATCGTGCGGTGAAGTCGCAGGCAAGGGCAACCAGAAGGCGAGGCAGGTGGAGGATTAGAGGCACGCTATGAGCCCCTCTACAACAAGAGAGCAGGCGAGCGACGATCCCAACAACGCTTGGAGCAGCTGCATGAGCTGTTTGCGCCTCCGCTCGAAGATCTCTGACGGATGCGCAAATGGGAGCCGAAGTTGAGCTGCGTCGGCGTGTGAGCTGAGCCGCAACGCCAACGTGCCCAAAATCCATCCATGCTTGGCCGGCCCAACCTTGGCACAGCGCTCCATCACCTGTCTCGGCCTCGTGAAACACAGCGCGGAGCTGCAAAACAAAAAAGGCCAATGCGTCGACGCATTTTTTGCATGCTGTGAGTAAGGAGGCCTAACATTCTGCAAAACTATTCGACCACCGATGTGGAGCAAAACCGGGCTGCGAGTCTGCGGCGGCTTCAGAAGCCGAGGGTCTGGAAATAGAAAAATGCAGCGCAGGCAAAATAGGTCGATCCTGTGCTCGCCTGCTGCAAGCGAAATTTGGACATGCGCCCAAAAGGTCGATGTTGCAAAGGCGAAAGGGGAGTGTCAGCAGCGTGATTTTCAGGCTAGGGCGGTAGAGGCCGTGCCGTAGACATGCGTCATGACGCCTGGGCCTTTTGCTTGCAGATCAGCAGCACCGACCGCCCGCACTCCACTCGCTCGAAGCGGGCACTGCAACGCGACTCATTCTGCACGGCTGCCCAACCGCAGGTGCTGTAAGAGCGTCGGCGACTCAGTTCCGTTGCCCTCGTCGTCCCTGCTCGCCCAAGCCATCCGCACATCCGCTCGCTCGCCAACACCTCGCCCGTCTTGAACCTCCTCCATCCGTCTTTCCACACCTCCATCCACTGACGACGAAAAGACATCCGCCGACACATCATGGCTCCCATCCTCAACGTGAGTGATAGCCGCCTACTTGCCATCCGGCACGGTCGCACCGACATTCTTCAACTCGACTGACTCGTTCTTAATCCCGTTGGCTCCTGTGTCTGTGATCTTGCTCGACAGTTCCACGCTGGCTCGCTGCCCAGCTTCGCATTGCGACTCAAGTCCGACGACTCGCTCGAGAGCCTCAAGTCTCGTGCTGCCAAGAAGATCCGCTTGCAGCTCGATGATGGCATCCCACTCGTGATCAAGTACGGCTGG